GATGGAATCCCGATTTGTACTATCGTTCCCCATGTTTTTTCCCCCGAAATTCCCGAGTCTCCTTGTCGTTGACCCGACAAAACCAACATGTAAACAACATGTTTTGCAGACGAAATGCTATCCATACGGCACTGGGTTCCCGATCGTGGCACAATTCAATCGTTATCTTTACATTTATTTGAACCTCAATCCTCATTGTTGTTTTTTTATTATTTTTCATTTTTTCCCATGAGGCATGTTGTGCAGTTAATGCTCAAAGCACAACATGATTGCAAAGAGTGGATCTTCTTTATGGAACAAAGTCCTGTGCACGTCTATGACGAGTTTAACTACAGTAAGGCAGCCAATGTTTGAAGCACAACAAAGTCAGAAGGAATAGTTTAGACTAAGTTTTATGGAACAGTTCACATTAAATGACGATCTTGTCAAATTATGGTATATTATGTAAAGTATTATGTAATTTAAATAAAGTCTCTCATACATTTTAATACTGTCTTGTATGTTTGTTTTTGTGAGAGTGAATCCTGAAAAATATGCAAATTAGTATGCAAATTAGCATGCAAATTAGCATGCAAATTAGACCGCCATGCTTGCCTCTGAGCCTGGGGAGAACACTGTTATTATTATACATCTTTTCCATCCAAGGATACATCATGGGAATGCCGAAATCCAAAACAGAAATCAGTGAATTTCTTTGTATGGAGTCCAGTCAAACCCTGGTGGCAGCCATGTTTGTTTTTACTATTAGGGGATGCTTGTGCGCGTAATCATTCCATATTTGGAATTCGCATTTTTTAATATGGTAGGATGAAAACACCCCGTAAAATACCACAAAATTACAGCACGCTATAACTTATGGCGTTACGGTGACAGATGTATAATATTAGAATATACAAGACACCAAGAAAAACTTGTTTGGCATCACTGCCTCCGTCAAAGTTTCACATACCTTAGACCGCCTCAAGGACAAAAACTTCAATGCCAAGCATTTCACTTTAATTTGTTATTTCTAATATAATTTTTTGTGTACATTTTTGTAGCTGGAGACCCTTTGGAGTGAGTTTGTTTGCCCTAATATGGTCTAGCGTGATAGGGAAAGGCGTTGATGCCAGCCAATAAATGTACTATACATTTATCTGCTCTATTAGAAGTGCATGATTTAACATAAATAGCATATGTGTTCCTATTGTAATGTTGTAATTTAATAATCCAGTAAACTATGTATGCAATTGCTGGCTTACACAAGTTTCTATTGTAGATGCACTTCTATTAGAGCAAATATATTATTTTAAAAACATTAATGTAACCTACCTCTGCTAAATTTATTTGAATTGAGGCATGATCCTTAGCAGCAATAATTCTGTTTGATGCTGAGCTGAAATGTATAAAACGATAATGTTAATGATACTCATTCCGATACCTTCTTTGAATATAACTGACAGATATTGATGATTTTCTTAGAAGCATCTTACACCTGGACTATGCAGAAATAGACTAGTTTTAAGTTTCCTGGTAGCAACAATACAGAGGAAGTCCATGCAATATAAGAGAAAGGGTGGGGGTGGTTGGGTATGTGTGGGAAATTTTATACCCAAAAATTGGAGAACCTGTTCTTCATTGAAAAAAATATAGGATAGGTTCTTTCTAGGACAAAATTGTCGCTGG